TTTCCAGCCCTCCGCGAGTCCTCCGGCGCTGGCCCCGTCCCCGGTCTTCCTTCTTGGTGATATCATCAGAATTGCCGACTTTTAGCCAATTTGTTAGGGCATTCTGTCAAACTGACATCCAAACCTTTTGTCGCAATGAAAAAAAAAAATCAATGGTTATTGATTTCCTTTTTAGCATATACTCATTCAAACTTGTTAGAGATATTGTCAAAAAGAACACAAATATCAATTGGGGTTTCATAGGAAATAATAAGGGTGATAAATTAATTACATATCAGTCATACTGAATTAATTAACTGCAAAATAAATCATTAATCCAGGTTATCATTGCTAACTTTTATAAAAAGCTATTGTAATTTTGAACTCATAACCAGCTGACTAGATTTAGAAGTAATTCAATTTCATATAAAATTGTTTCCCAGTACCAGTATTTTCCTTCAGCAAATCAATATAATACTAAATAAATATGGTTTAAGGGACACTGTAGGCATAGTAATTGCTTAGTAATTGCTTAATCTTGTTGAAGTGGTTATAGTGCCTGTAATACCCTGGTGGCACCCTTCTGTTAATCCAGTATGAAGCCATTTTAATGGTTTAATGCTGAACCAGAGTCCCAGTAGCCCATCTGCTGTACTGCTTGAGCGAATGAGGAAGCATTAGACTGAGCAGCAATGGGCAGTGATGATTGGCTGAGCATGTCAGCTGACTGCATTCAGCATATTAAGTGAAATGATTAGAGTGCTCTTTAGCTAAATTGAGTGGTTTTAGTGTATAGATCATATCCCTGCGGTGTCATGGCTTAAAGAAACACTGTAGTGTTAGGAATACATATCTGTATTCCTAACGCCACAGCCCCGATGCCCCTAGTAATTTAGCCCTCCCCATATGTAAATATAAAAATGACATAAATAAAATTAAAACAAATTGCCCTTTCTCCAACGCCAAGTCTTCCTCGACGCTACCACGACCTTCTCCCCAAGTGATGTCATCCTAGAGGCCTGCTCCTCACATAGGAGCATTGGTGGTTGCCACAATGCCCATAAGATTCTGCCGTAGAGAATAATTGTATGCAATGATTCTCTATGGCTGAAAGTGACGGCACTGACATCATGGTATGAGGACCGAGATCTAAGATTCCCCGCTCTAATACCTAGAGGTCTTGCAGGCGTAGCTATAAGCCGCGCTTCCAAACCCTCTGATTAGTTTACTACATGGTTTTGGGTGGCTGGTGAGGAGGGTCAGGACTGCAGGCACTATGACAACTTAATAAAAATTAAGTTGTTAAAGTGCCTACAGTGTCCCTTAAATTATCTGCCATGTTTAATCGCCCTGTTCATGTAATCCTAGCCATACCTCCCTGCAATTATTTCAAAGTTTGAATCATAGAAAGCTATAGATAGATCTCTGAAACTACTCTCTTTAAACTTGTGTTTAAGCATGTTTTTAAAAAGCAGCTGTTAAACATTGTTACTACAAACACAGGATAGATATTTTACTAACAGGTTATGGTCCACCAATGCCTTTAATGTCTGAAAGACTATTCTCATTAAACACTACTCATGTTCAGTTCCACTCACAATGTCCCCATTTAAGCACAGGTCTTTTCAGAACTTGAATGTAACTCTTCAAAAAGTCTTGTTTTTCAATAAATCATGAGGAACTCCACTAGGATTTTATAGAAGGTCACGGAACTCATGTATAGTTCGCCATCAAGCAAGCTAGTCACTGTAGTTATGGCATTAGTTTCAATGAGAGCGAAGGGGACCTAATGGAGAAATATATACTGACCATTGGTAGGTGAAAATGTATCTCCATGGACTCTCCAGGCTTGCAGTACTGAGTTACTTGGGACTTGCCTAGCAGTGTTGGACTTGGAATTACTTGGAAAAATGTGCCTTCATCATATTGCTTCTCCTCGTGGTAGCCAGTCCCTCACCCATTATCATCTAACATAATAAAAAGAAATATATGTGACAAAAGTTCTTTCAAACATCCGATGTTGTTAATTAGGGTCAAATCCCTGCTGGGACCAAGGAACCCTGGGTATCTTTTGATACCTGTGGGTCAACTTTGTCAGCTGACACCACAATTAGTGGCATTAAGTGGATTATAGTATCCAAGTTCTGCTTGGGTTCTGAACTTGAGGACATTTATACAATACAATAATATTTCTGTATTTTGCAAAAGGTGATATAACTATTTCCACTGACAGACTTCAGACAGAAGAAATTATTTAATTTTTTTTAAATGCTGCATATTATTTATTCCATAGATTTCTAAAAGTGGAATATTAGGCAAGTTTGTGGGTATAGTTAATCTAAACGTTTTGATGTTGTCTGAATTCATGACATTGACCTATATCCCCGATCACAAAAAAGGTGTGTGAAATAAGGTTGAGGAAATACAATGAGATATCTATCTTCTGTTATAATTATTGTTTTATCGAAGTTCCTTCTGAATCCTTGTTTAGGTTTTTTTCCATTGTTGCTGATGCTACATCTTTCCGTAGCAGTGAATTCATGTTGACATCCAATCGTTCACCTTCCTGTATCTGCCAAATCTTATTTGTTTGCATCCATTTTGCACGTTGGCTAGTAAAGGGAGGAAGGAGGGTATTCCAAATAGAAACATGAAATTGATATAATTATTATAACATAAAACCAATTTTAAAAATGTGCACATTAAAATGCACAGAAAACCTAATAAAATCATTATCCAAGCTTGAATATTTGCTGTTTGTCTGCCTGTGTTTTAGGATCATGTTACATGCAAACGCTTGCCATGTATTAGATATCTCTTCTTACCAAAACAGCTGTGCCAGCTGCCATGCCCCTTGAAATTAGGCAGGCTCTCGACTTTCATTAAAAAGAACAGCTGCAAACTCCTATAGTCTCTCTTATTCCTCCAAAGGTTGAAAGAGGCTTTTATAAAGCGAGTCATGTTAATTTAATGCTGGTTTATTACACCCACACAGTGTGCAGATTATGAACATTAAGGATGACAAATTCTAAGTTCATGCAATGTTTATAAAATAAATTTTGATATACCATTATCTTTAAAATGTCCCAAAATATATTTTTCCTAAATAAAGCAAGCATATATGTTAGTAACAAAAATAATACCTGTGTAGTGCCATGAAAAAGTACACAAATTTATAGAAAGACTAAGAAGATAGACACACACTTTGCAGTCTAAAGTATTTTGTTCTGGTATCCTGTAATACGGCATCAAAGGGCTCCCTGTGTTTCAAACCAATATGACATGCTTAATAAAAATGTTACCATCCCAATTATATATATATTTTTTAATATAATTTTTATAATACTTATCTTGTATGCCATGGCGTATGTCATTAATCCCAGGCAAAGTATATTATGTGTAAGGTTCATTCTCTTTACTAGTCATACATAGTAAACCAATAAAAAACACTGAAATTCTTGAATAATCATTTGTCTACAACTCCAAGTCAAATTTGTACAATATTGTTGTATTTGTGTTTTTAATGGTGCTTCATGTTCAAGGACAGTTGAGTGCACCTTATTAAGTTTAAGTATACTTTTTTTTGTAAATCAATATCTATTAAGCATTAGTGGCAAAATTATAGCAGCATAATTTGCTTACATTCAACAGTCAAAGAGGGATATTATGCACAATAAATAATATTCAGTCAAGTACAATGTTGTGCCTCTTGAGTCTCTATTCCTCTCCTCCTATATTTCCAAGGTGTTGTAAGCAGTCATACAATAGTAATTAAATGTAACTAATTAACTTTACCTTCAAATGTTAGTTTCTTAATTGGTTATTGAAAGAAAGAAACAAAAAGGGCACAATCTAACCAATAAGTTGGACAACTATCTAGAAGGCATGTGCACCCTTTGGTGGTCCCGACTATAGCTTAAAGGGACACAATAGTCACCATAACAACTACAGCTTAATGCCTGCTGGTGAGTATAATCATTGCCTTCAGGCATTTTCAGAGAAAAGGTAGTGTTTACCTTGCCCCTACAGACACCTCCAAGTGGCCACACCCCTGAAGGCCTGGAGATGCTTCCTGGGGCAGTGCTGCATGGGGACGCTGAATTTTCCTCATAGAGATGAAGAAATGCTGATTGGCCAAAACGGCATTTTGCCACGCACCCATCTCGCCGCCTTGCCGATTTTAGCCAATCCAAAACCATCAATTCTGATTTTGTCATCAAGGAGGCAAATCGGGGGCGGGGCCAGCGCCGGCGGTCCCACGCAGTGCTGGAAATAAGATGAGTTTTAATTCCTTTTAAGGGGCAAGCCACCTAAATGGTGGGTTTAACAATATAGGGTCAGTAATACATGTTTGTGTTCCTGACCCTATAGTGTTCCTTTAATAGATTTGGAAACCGGGGATACACTTCGGCAAGTATGATTATAGTAACAAGTACCCTGGTTACATTGAAAAGCATTTACATTCTAGATTGTACACCAACAATGTCCCCATCACCGCCAATCCACTGAGTACGCGGCAACAGAGGCAGACCCACCATTTCTGAAGAAAATAACCCTCAGCATTCTGCCAACGCCAACATGTATCTGATGTCATGGGATCTATATTATGGAGGAGTTGGGAGTTTCTGTACCACAGTGAGAGAACCTTGTACGATGACTCCTAAGATATGCAAACTGTTATGCAGTGATGAATCAGATAACAAATCTTCTGCCACTGTTTAGATAGTAACCCCCAAGACTCTGATTGCTGTTCTAATAAATCTGTCCTGCCTGGTATTGGGAACACAGAACATCTGCAAGTGTATATGGCTTACCCAAGATAGTGCACTTTAACATAATATATGTAGCCCCTAATCTATCAGTGTGTCTGTTTTGACAATAGGCAGAGACTTGTCTATCAGTTCACTCTCAGTAAACTGGCACCCACCCCTAAGTGGGGAAAGCAGACCGGCCATCAGGCCACAAGCCTCAGTTAACAAAATTTGTTCTTAAACAAAAATTCTGCATAAGACAGTGCAAGGATGACTCAACTGGAGACCAGGCAACAGGACTTCAAAAACACAGTGGAGTACCAGCCTCCCTGTGAAGACCCAGATGTCACAGTTCACTCCTTAGGTGGTCCTGAATACTATAGCAATGCTCTCAAGGTCGGAAGCACCAGCAATAGCTGGCGGCAAAGCACCGTCTACCAAGCAGGATATATATAACGTGCTCGTACATATCAAACAAATGTTCTCAGCAGAGATACGGATTGTACAAACGGAGGAGCATGTCGTATGTCGCAATCATACGTGGGGGGGAGAGTTTTTGTGGATGTTTCAGGTTGATTGGTAGTCAATAAAGTATCTCTGTCAGCCTCTAATGCTCTCTTGTATGCAATTTTAAAGCATCTGTTGGGGTAGACCTTATCTTTGAATTGTTGTCTCTGGCTGCTGATATCTTTGGAATGACTGGTCGATCCTCCAAGTGAAAGCTGAATGCTGTAAGGTGGTGTAGAAGAGCTTGCATAGCTTGAGCAGACTTACCAGCTCCCCTTTTGTGAGTGCAGCAATTACCACTTATATTAGGATAATTTGAAACATTATTACACTATATGTTACACACTCGATTTTCATGATTTTGAGATTTTATATCACTTACTGTACAATTTGCACTTTGCAGTTGCACTTTGGTATATTTGTGCACTTTGGTTCATTATGCACTTTTAGTAGTATTGTGCACTTTAACTATATTGTGATTTTTTTCACTGTCGCTATATTCCACCTTTATAGTAATTCTGGTGTATATACACGTACTACATAGTGTTTTAAAGTTACAGCGCACCTTTTTGTATGTAATGTTAGACTTGTGTATTTAAATTCTAGACCCCTGATCTAGTCTAAATCCTTCCACATATGACTAGAACAGTGGAGTGACACCCTTTCCCTAATCGTTCTCCAAACAACACAGATTTTTAAGATCTGAAATATGGAGTAGTAGAAATGTTTTATTCACTCACTGCCCATGGGATTTAAACAAGATACACAGCATTTATACATTGCTTGCAACATGCAGACACTCCATACATCAGTATCAGTATCAAGCAGTATACACAAAAAAACATTTAAAAAAAACCTCAGAATCCTATAAAAAATGATCACATGTCATGGCTCAATTTAAAATGTTTCAGATACTCTGGAAAGTATTCTTTTGTAAATGGTATGCATTTATGGAAATATTTCTGAACCGATCAAATCCCCCAAAATAAGTCGTAATTCCAAGTTTGAAACCTGATATGTTTTCACACCCAAAGTGTAAAGTGAAAATTGTCAGTGACTCAAAGTGAATTCGAAAAAGTGACTTTGAAAAAAAATTCAGATCAGTTTTGTTATTAGTTTGGCTATTTTTGTCTAAAATTAGAAATTCTCTTTGAATTCCCACTTTAGTGAATAACCCTCAAAGTGTTTGGATAAGCAGATCATCTGCCAATTATCTAGTGATGTCATGCTGCATTTGTTATGTCATTGTTTGACCCAGTTATTAGCCACTGATTTTGCTGAATCCACTCGCTAGTGTATTTGGAGGCTTTGCGAAAGGTACTCTACTCACTGGTGCAGCATTTTTATTCAAAGAATTTGAATATTTTAATTTCCTATTGTTTTGCAATGCCATTTCTGAAAGTAAGTAATCTCATTTTATTATGGACTCAAAATTATTGAATGAAAAAAATATTTTTAAATGGTATTTAATTATAAAATCTAACTGGTTACAAGGATAATTATTTTGAAAAGTGGTGGGCAGAAGTAATATCATTATTTTTACACAGAGGGACAGTCCAAATTTTGTACACAACAATTAATATTAGTGTTCTATGCCATTTGCTGTCAGTAGTAATGGAATGGAGGTTGGGAACAATAGCTGGTGGACTCCAGGTGAGAATTCAAATAATACGAAAACAGTTTGACTACATACAGTGGAGGGGAGCGGGTGAGAGGAGAGGCACCATAATCACTACAGCATGTTGCAGTGGTTATGGTGCTTGGAGTGTTCCTTTGATGGAGTTACTTCTTTGCAAAGTGAATGTTGGGACTGGATGCAGTTAACATTTTATTAAGTCTCTTCTCTCATATATAGAAATGTCAGATACTCTCTGTTTTCTTTTATTGTCTCACATGTAAATTGAAGTATCCTGAAAAAGTATTTATTTTCATGTATAGGGAAAAAAACTTTCAAAACTGAACCAAAAAAACACTTGGAAATCGCAAGTGAAGAATGAGAAAGACATGCAAACTGAAGAAATACTACTAAAAGGACAGGTAACACCTTTAATAATATGGAAAGCAAAATCATTTGCCACTTGATTTACTATGCAGAGTAAATAGCCGTGCCAAGCTTTCAGTTTCCCTCCCTGTGAGCTGCATACCAAATCTTTCTCAATTTAATTTTATGAACTTCTAATCTAGATCATCATTATTACATTTCTATATACCATACTAAATGTTTTTATTTTCAGATTAAACTTTCAGAAGAGGAAGTAATTGCAGCTGAAGTACAAACAGACAGAAAAATCCTTGTGGACCAGGTAATTGTAATTCAAATAATATTGTATACTCATGCTCTTCGAGTCTTGCATAGATTTTTGCTCTTCATATATTTACATCATGAGCATCTGTAGGTCCAGTGTATTCAATCACCACCAATCTTCACTTCCCATTCAAACTAAAAAACAAACAAAAAAACAAGGCAACTTGACTATCCAAATGTGTAAGTTTGTGTTGTTGTATATGTATGTATATATATATTGTTCTATACTTATTTTTTCTTTTTGGTCATCAGTCACTTTATGCACTTTTTTAATTCTTTATATGCTCTTTATGGTACCCTTATATGCAGTTGCCTAATTTGTAGGCGGTCTGTGGAAAGAGCCGATATTACTATTGTACCTATCTCACTTTTTATACACATCAGCCACTCTGACCGATACATTTATTTAAGCATTTTATATCACTATCCGCTGCACGATCACAGTACAGCGGATTCTAGCGTCCTGGTTGCCACGGAGAGCCGGTGTTGTTCCAGGTCTACGTGGCAACGGACGTTACGTAACCACGTTGACGTGGGACGGGGCTTGGGCACACATGCGCGCAGGCTCTCCGAGGACGCCGGTGGTTTCGGCAATTGTACACTGGTGGGTAAGATTATTCTTCTTGAATTTACCTGCTAATTATGCTAATTTTTCCTGATTTTAATTGCTAATTATGTTAATTGGTTTGCCTATTTATACATGTGAATTGTGAGACATTATTGTTTTTCCTGATGAAAGTCCCAGAGGAGGACTGAAACGTTGAGCTGTCAGCAATCTTTTTTATTATTTTGCATTAAACTTTGGATGTTTTAACCTATTAATAAATCTGTGAGTGCTGGTCACCTTTGCTATATATATATATATATATATATATATATATATACACACACATACACACACACACATATATAGTATGCATATCTGAGTGCAAATGTGTCACAGTTTATGTATATGTCTGAATGCATGTATGTGTATGTCTACATGTGTGCATGTTTATAGTGTGTGTGTGTGTGTGCACGCAGTGTACGTGTTTAACAGTGTGGATAGCAGCATGAGTAGCAGTGTGTGTAGCAGCAGCGTGTTGTAGTAATGTCTGCTTGTGTTTAGTGTGGGTAGCAGTATATGTCTGTGTCAATAAGAGCATGTGTGTGCTAGTTTGTTTAGAAGTGTATGAATAGAGTGTGTGTGTGTGTGTGTGTGTGCGCGCAAGCCAAAATATGTTCTAATAATGTGTGTGTCAGTATGGCTTTGTGTGCCTGTTATGCATTTCGGAGTTGGCCATTCTGGTCCCAGTCCTCTCTCCTAACTCTGCAGAACATGTTTGTGTTCAGTCTAAGGGGGCGGGGCCAGCTCAGATCATTGTGTTCAGTCTAAGGGGGCGGGGCCATGCAAGGATCACTGTTCAGTCTGAGGGGGCGGGGCCATGCAGGGATCACTGCATTCAGTCAGAGGGGGCGGGGTCATGCAGGGATCACTGTGTTCCGTCTGAGGGGGCGGGGCCATCAGAATGTATACAGAGATCATACAGCATCCTCTGTTCTAGTCAGAAAACACCTGGCAGGAGATAAGGAGGGGCTTTTCACAAACACAGCAGGAGCCCCCATCAGACATGGGACTGTGTGCAGCTTCCCACTCTGCCTAATAGGAAATCAGACCCTGGCTCAGGATATATTTTTGATATTGATATTATTTGAAGTAATTGAATTGACTCTCTTCTTTTCTTTTCATAGTCTATTCTGTGCAATGTGGTGACAATAACCGAAGATTATTCAGAGTCAACAGGGGAGACATACAGTGCTCCTAAAGAGGTAATAGACTAAACAGTATTTATAGTTTACTAATTAGATTAAAAGAACACCCCCACCCCCATAACAAATTCAGCTAATTATTTTGTGAGTGTCCGGGTGTACACTTTCTCTCAATGGGCAGTCAGTGATAGGCTAAAAGTGACAGCTGACTCTCAGTCTATAACTTGCTGTCTGGCGAAACATTCTTCATACTGTGGAGGGAATGAGGATGAAAGCTGGGCAGCAGAGGTTTATGGGGCACATGCTTGAATTTCAGGGTTAAAACATTGCAAAACTGTTGATTCCTGAATGTAAGAAGGCACCTGGACTTTCTTAAACCCATACCTTCAATGAGCAGAAGAAGAGGAGGGTGGTAGGATCCCTTTAATTTTTAGAACACAGTGGTAGAGATGTAATGCTAATATTTTGTGTTTACTTTGTTAGATTTTGTCAAAGAAAAAAGATGTTAATGAAAGCAGAAGCTTTCTGTATAAAATGTTCTGGTGCTGCTCTAACTGCTACAAGAACACTGATGAAGAAATCGCCGTCCCCATTGCAGTGAAAACCGTGGAAGAATAGCTTCTATAAAATTATTGATGGAGATGGTGCATTTAGTATATTTTGACATTAAGTATTAATAAAGTGAAATGATGTAAATTTGTGATTGTGCCTGATAACTTTTTAAGCAGATTATGTATTGTATTTTTAAAGGAAATATGTATATATAACAGCATTAAGTATGCATATAATATATATATTAAAAAAATGGAAAACTAAATTTTTCACAGTTTTACTTTTACTGAAATTTCTGTGTTAATACAAATAAAGAAAAATAACTCAGTATCAATTAACTTATAAGTATTTGCTGATTGTGAACCCCTTAGTTTTGTTGTTTTGCACTTAGAAACATGACTGTTTTTTTAAACCAGCAAGCAAACACTACACTAATATACAAACCTAAATAAAGCATTTAAATGTTTGAAAGGTATGTAATAAACTCTTATAAACAAAATTAGAAACTGTCACACAGTATATTCTTGTGTGTAGTAACATATACATATATACATTTTCAATGTAGAATGATTTTATATATTATGTTTAATAGTCATCACAGAAAACAACATTTCCACACAAAAGTATATAATTATATAAAGTAGACATCATAGACTATGTACCTGGAGTTACTTTGACACTTTTTACACTGCAGCCATTTAATTGCAAGTCTCCGCTAAATATTGTAGTAAAAGTAATTTTTTTTAGATTAAAAAAAAGAATTATAAATCTTTTTTATTGTGTAGTTGCATTTGCTAAGACAAGAAATTATAGCCACGCAGGCCGCAATATATGCAACCATATCAAAAATACAAATGTATACATAGTTACATAGTTACATAGCTGAAAAGAGACTTGCATCCATCAAGTTCAGCCTACCTCACATTTGTTTTTTGCTGTTGATCCAAAAGAAGGCAAAAAAAAACCAGTTTGAAGCACAATTTTGCAACAAGCTAGGAAAAAAATTCCTTCTTGACCCCAAAATGGCAGTCAGATTTATCCTTGGATCAAGCAGTTATTACCCTACATTGAAAGATTATATCCTTGAATATTCTGTTCTTGCAAGTATGCATTTAGTAGCCGTTTGAACATCTGTATGGACTCTGATAAAACCACTTCTTCAGGCAGAGAATTCGACATCCTGATTGTTCTTACAGTAAAAAAACTTTTCCTTTGCCTTAGACGAAATCTTCTTTCTTCCCGTTTTGAATATAGGAACCACATCTGCCTTCCTCCAATCCTCCGGAACACTTCCTGAAAGAAAAGAATCTTGAAAGATTAAAAACAGAGGTTCACTTATTTCTGCACTTAGTTCCTTAAGTACACGTGGATGGATACCGTCAGGCCCTGGACCTTTGTTTATATTAACTTTCTTTAATTGCTGCAGCACCTTGTCTTGAGTTAACCAATTACAATTATTCTGCAAGTTTTTAGTAGCAATCATTTGCACATCTATTGCCATGGGTTCTTCCTTAATATATACGGAGGAGAAAAAGTTATTTAAAATTCCTGCCTTTTCCTGGTCTTCATTAACTAACACCCCGTTTCAGTTTTTAGTGTACCTACACTTTCATTTTGGGGTTTTTTAGAATTTATGTACTTAAAAAATGCTTTGGGGTTGGTTTTGCTCTCTTCAGCTATCATTATTTCATTTTGAAGTTTAGCAAGTCTAATTGCCTTTTTGCACGCATTATTTGCATCCTTGTATCTTTTATAAGATGCATCTGATTTGTCCAATTTAAATGCTTTAAATGCCCTTTTCTTAGTTGTAATCTCTTGTTTTACTTCTCTACTAAGCCACATTGATTTTAATTTGTTTCTTTTATATGTATTTCCCAACGGTACATACTGAGAAATGTACCTTTTTAATATTTGTTGGAAGATTATCCATTTATCCTCAGTGTTCTTTTCACTAAAGAGTTTATGCCAGTCAATATATTGTAAAGCTTCCCTTAACTTATTGAAATTGGCCTTTTTAAAATGATATGTTTTAGTATTCCCCATGTGCTTTTGTTTTTTTGAGTTTATTTCAAAGGACACTATATTGTGATCACTATTTCCCAAGTGCTCACCTATTTGAATGTTGGTCAAAAGATCAACGTTGTTTGTTAAAACCAGGTCCAGACAAGCATCCATTCTAGTTGGTGCTTGTACAAGTTGTGACATGAAGGTGTCATTTAACAAGTTTAAAAACCTAATTCCCTTTGCTGAGGCACTAGTCCCTCCATCCCAATTTATATCTGGGTAATTAAAATCTCCAATAATTAAAGTGTTACCCAGATTTGCAGCTTTCTCAATTTGCTCAAACAGCTGTTGTTCCTCGACAATATTAACATTAGGTGGTTTATAACATATCCCAACCAATAGTTGGTTTCCCTTCTTTTCCCCCAAGTAGATATTTACCCATAAAGCTTCCACATTATCCTCCTCGCATTCCATTTGCTTAACATTTGGCTTTAAATCATGTTTGACATACAAACATACCCCACAACCCTTCTTGTTTTTCCTATCCTTCCTAAATAACATGTACCCATTTAAGTTAGCTGCCCAGTCATGTGTCTCATCCCACCATGTTTCAGTTATGCCTATTATATGATATTGTTTAGTGTATGCTAATGCCTCTAGTTCCCCTATTTTGTTATTTAGGCTCCTTGCATTAGTAAGCATACATTTAATATTATGCGTCACTTGTATATTTTGTGAATTTTCACCATTACACAGCTTCTCTGTTCTGAGCTTGCCCCTCCCCCTGTTTCACCCCCTTATACTGTGCTAAAGCCCATCTCCTTTCTGTCCTATCTCCATTTTGTAGATTGCTATGACCCTCCCCCCCTACTACTGGTTTAAAATCTCCTCCAACCTTCTAGCCATCCTATCCCCCAGCACTGCAGACCCTCTCCCGTTTAGGTGCAATCCATCACCACTATAAGGGTTGTACCCAATCGCATTTCACAGCAGTTCAGTTACTGTGTTCAGTTACTCTCTGATAGTCGCCAACGTACGGTCCAGAACCGCCAGGTAGTGGAAAATAGTATATTACCATTTTTTCTGATTTTTGTGTTCAGCTACATTTTCTTTTTTTTAAACATTCTTTATTTATTTATTTTCACCTGTTCAGAAGCATTTTGCAACCATGGTGTAAACATTTGTCTTATGATATAACATGTTTGACATTGTTATGTGAGTAGACAATTTGTCTAGCTAGTTTCCAGCTTTGCTGTTGCATTAGTTGGGTGTTGATAGGTCGCACAATGGTACAAAAATACAAAAATACACAAATATACACAATCAAGTAAAAACATAAACAACTTTTGGTCTCAGTGGTTGGGTGTTATGCTCGCGGGAAGGTTTAGTGTTTCTGCGCTATGGTTTTGGGAGACTGCTGGAGTCTGTTGTGGGTTGGCCCCCTTGAGTTGCGGTTATGGTCCCCTATGGGTACTCCCCTGTTTGTCATGCGTATGGGTTTCACCCTCTGAGCTCCCCTCCCCGTTATGCCTCTATTGGCCATTTATTGGGCCTGCGGCGTAGCCAGGTTCGGCGGGTTTAGCGCCGGCTCACTCAGCCAAGGGTCCCAAATTTTATGAAAGTGGCCTGACGTTTCATGGACTAGGGCTGAGATTCTGTCCATTTCAATGGCTTCCCTGGTTTTGCGGATGATTGTGGCTAAAATGGGGACCTCCGGGGAGCCCCAGAGTTCCGCTATCGCCCTCCTTGTAGCCAGAGCTATTCTGTTTGCTAATTTGTTTTGGGCTCTGGTTAAAGGTTCCCAGGGTTTGGATAGAAGCCAGATCCACGGGTCTAGGGGTATATCTGCGTGGAGTAAGCTGGATACCAGGCAGGCCACCTCCGCCCAAAGCGGTGCTAGTTTAGGGCATTGCCACCATTGGTGTATGTATGTTCCCCTTTGCCCACACCGCTTCCAGCAGAGGTCCGATTCGGTCCTACCCATTCGGTATAGTCTTGCGGGGGTTAGGTACCATCGAAGTAGAGTTTTATAGGCCTGCTCTTTGTGGTTGACGCATATAGAGATAGATGCTGTGGCCTCCCATATGTCCTGCCAGTCAGTCGGGTCTCCCAGTGGCCCCAGATCCCTCTCCCAAGCCGCCACATATGCCATCGCTCCTGGGGCATGAGTAGAGATGAGCAGGCTATAATTATCAGTGATCTGGCCCTTGCGGGCTGGGTTATGTATGCATGCTCGTTCAAATGTTGTGCATCTGTTGGTAGCTGCTATCCTATTTTCAGGAAGTTCCAAAAAGCTCTTTAGTTGTATGTATCTGAAAAAGTCATGTGTGTTGTATGGTGAGTGTTGTTGGGGAAGGTCTTTGTATTGCATTAGTTTTCCTCCCTCAAAGAAGTGGCATATTCTATAAAGGTCGTTGTGTTCGTAATGAGCGAAATCTTTTGGGTTCATTCCTGTGCTAAATGCTTTATTGCGCAGAATGGGTGTCAGTGGTGATGGGTTGTTGATGATAGGGAATTTTTGGGTAAGCTTATCCCAGGTGCTGATAGAATTAGCTAGTGTCGGGGGTAGTGGCGGTGGCAGGGGCCGGGAGGTCCGTGGGACCCATATGTACAATGAGGGGAGGTCGAAGCCAAATATGTCGTGTTCTAGGTCGGCCCAGCGCTTCGCTCCTGGTGGGGCGTGTAGATGCTGTATCTGTGTGGCTTGCGCCGCATGGTAATAGTGTTGTAAGTGGGGAAGGCCCAGGCCTCCCGTCCTGTTAGGGATGTACATGGTCGCCCTTTTCACTCTCGGTCGTTTATTCAACCAGATGAATTTGTCGATATGTGACTGTAGGTATTTGAAGTCCGAGGTGGGTATGGGGAGGGTTTGAAAAAGATAGAGCAGTCTTGGTAGGAGGTTCATCTTCACCGAGGCTAGGCGTCCCAGCCACGACAAAGACAAGTCCCTCCATCTCTGCAGGTCTTCTATGATTTTCTGGATCAGCGGTGGGTAGTTAAGTGTGTATGTGCGCTGTAGTTCCGCTGGTAGGTTGATCCCTAGATACGAGATGTGTGAGGCC